CTGCGCGCGCCTCGCGTCTTTTGTATCCGCTCAATGCCGGCTGCAAAGCTTTCGCTCTTGGCGCACGCGCCACGGGTGGCGATGCCGGAAACGGCGACGAAGCCCCCCTCAACGGCGGCACGGGCGCTCTCGTCTCTGCTCCCCAGACCAAGCGCGCGAGGGTGGGCGTGCCACACCCAGCTGAGGTAGCCCAGGGCGTGCAGCACAGGGAGGCGCAGCTCGCTCGTGAAGAAGAAGTCGACCTGGCCTTCCGAGGTCCTTCCGAACATCCGCTTCCCGTCCACCGTGTGCAGCGCGTCTCTGCAGCTCTGCTCCGGCCGGCACAGCGCTCTGTACAAGGGGCGGGACTCCTGCTTGACGCCGTCGGCTGAGCAGGTCGCCGGGCAGCTGGCGGTGAAGGAGTGATCGTACCAGTGTTGCATCACCGCGTCGGCACCTACAACTCGGGACGACTCGGGCCGCTATCTCCCGTAGTTTCACGCTCTACACGCATTGAATGGCGCCTGGACCGCGAGAGAAGAGCCCGCCACCGAAGAGGTCGACGTGGCCGCAGTGGGCGATGGCAAGGTCAGTGAGCGCGCCGCCGCTGTGGCCGAGGCCGAGGCCAGTGGGGCCGATGTGTGCCATCCGCACGTCGCGGAGGAACCAGGCGAGGCGCGCCGTCTGCTGTGATGCCATACAGATGGGCGGCAGCCTCTTCTGCCTCGATCCCTGTGTCGCGGCGCACCGCGCAAACGAAGCTTCCTGGCACTGCCGGTAGCCAAAGTCAGTGCGTAGGCCTGCGATGCCGCCCCCGCCGCCCACGGCGCGAAGGCTCGTCGGCACTTCGCACCCCGGACGAGCTTTTGGCGTCGGATAGGCATTTGTCCGGAGCACCGCGTCATAGTGGTCAGAGTCGATGAGGCGCGCCCACGAGCCGTTGCTACAGCGGAGGCTGTGGCCGGACAGGACCACAGCACAGCGCCTCAGCCCCTCACGCAGCAGCGGCTTACCTGGTCCAGAGCTGTGGTTGCGCATCCGAGCGACCCACCCAGCGATGGCCGCAACATCAAAGCTGAAGCAGCCGCCCGTCTCGACAGAGCACGCCTTGCGCATCACGCGGCCGTCACTTTCACACAGCCGCTTGTGCCCTCCCGGAAGGCACACGCGGAGCATCCCCGTTCTGCCGGACTCGACCGTGCAGGGCCGAGCAGTGTTGCAAAGAGTGCCCCGCGCGTGTAGCAGGTGCAGCAGCCGCTCGGCGAGTGGCCCTGCATGATCGTCCGCGAACCGGCCGTGGCCCTGCTGGTAGGCTCGCGAGCGGGCCTGCTCGAGCGCACACGCCGCCTGCCAGCCTCCCTCTGGCATTGACGAGGCCCTTTTTCGATTTAAACAGAACGGGCAGACGGCGGGCGGCCTGCTTCTCCTGGCAGCGAGGGACCAGACTCTCCACACACACGCAGCACACGGCCGGCGCACACCCTGGCAGCCTACCCTGGCTGGCTGGAGCCGCAGGAACGCACGTTTCAACTTCGAAAATCCCTGTGTGGTGGCGGCGTGCCGTCCTCCCAGTTGTTTGTTTTCTTCTTTCTCCACTTCCCAGGGCATATGCTACCAGGTCACAGTGTGGGTTCGGCACCTGTTCACACCAGTGCGGGGGTAGGGGACACCTCCGGAGTACTAGTATGGATTTCTTTTTCGGGGAAGAAATAAAGGGCGGATTTCTTCTTCGGTGGGATGAAAAAAACTCGGGGTGGCTACAATCGAGAGTGGACGTGATTGCGATTCCACTGAAATTGCAAATGAAAAACGCAATCAACGCCAATCACAGAGGCATTTGCCGCCCAGCTCCTTCGAAATTTAAGTGTTTTCCCAAGCAAGGGATGACAAGGTCTGTCTGTGAACCTCAGAGACTGTGCAAACTTCACGTCTTGACGGTTAAAAAACCTGTTAACGGTCGCGACGTGGTCAATTCAATATATCGTGACAGCGGCTGCGAAACGACAGCAGCAACGACAGCTGGTGACAGCTGGTGACAGCTGGTGGCAGGAGGCAGCTGGCTTCCAACTTTTTCGGGGGTAGTAGGGTAGGGTATCATCGGGGGGGTTGGGGTAGGGGGGTAGGGGGTAGGGGGGTGGCTGCCCACTAGGCAGGGTAGTATGTATGTGTGTAGGAAGGCGAAGAACAGTCAGGCTCGGACTGGACACCAACGCGGTATGGGTGGACGCTGGACAGTGATCGACGACTAAGGGTAGGGGGCGAGCCACCCTACCCGACCCCCCTCACACCTCGAACCCTGCTTGGTGTGGAGGCATTGACCTACGCGAGTACCTGGCGTGATTGACGGAATGGCGTCGAGCGTCGCTCACGACGCCTCATCGGCCCCCGCTGCTGCCTCCGAGTCGCTGGTGCGCGATACCGTGCCCGATATCTCGCTCATGAGGCGAGCGTTCACCGCCATGGACACCAACAAAGACGGGCACGTCTCCTTCCAGGAGTTTTCCACGTACGCCGCGACCGAGCTGCGGCTAGGAAAGCCAAGGGCGCGGTCTGCCCTCACGCAGCGGCAGCGGCGGATTCGCACCGATCCCGAGAGGGATGCGGATGCCGCTGATCAGCCACGTCGCCGCAAGTCCAAGCTCCTCAAGGGCATGAGCGACGGCGGCGAGGAGCGGGCGCGTGGCGCGGGCGCGCGCCGCTTTGGCCTCTCGAACGCCTCCTCGCGCGCCAGCCGGCTGGCGGTGCGGCGCTTCGGGCTGGGGAGCGGCAACGGCTCCGGCCCGTCCCTGTTTTCCGACGTGCCGCTCTTCCTCGCCGAGGAGGAGACGGAGAGGCTGATGCAGCACGCTCCGCCGTACGGGTTCCGGTTCGGCAGGTTCCGACCGGACGAGCTCGATGCGAAGCGGCGCAACGCCACGCTGCCGCGCGTGCGGCGGTACGGCTCGTGCGCCGTCGTCGGCAGCTCGGGCACTCTGGTGCGGCGCAGCTACGGCGCGGAGATCGACGCGCACGACGCGGTGTGGCGCGTGAACAGTGCGCCCCACCCTCGCCTGGCGGTGCGTGCCGGGCGACCTCTCTCCTCGCACCCCCTCCCCCGCCCCCTCCCTCCGCACGCAGGCGCAGTCGTGAACGAGAGGTGCGCCGCGTGCTCACAGCCGCAGGGCCGGCTGCAGGGCTGGCTGCAGGAGCCCCCGGCCTGAGCCTCGGAGCCGCCCGGTAGGTACGCTGAGTTTGCAGGTCGGAGGACGACCGTCCGTGTGCTCGCCTCGCCGCACGCGGGGTCGGATTGGCGCTTCAAGGAGCAGGACGCCTTCCCCGACACGACCGCGATGGTGGTGTGCGACCGGCCGTACGCCTACTCGTGCCGAAACGGGGAGGGTGTGAAGAGACGCTGTTCACAGCGGGAGGTGTGAATAGGTACGCCTACTCGTGCCGAAACGGGGAGGGTGTGAAGAGACGCTGTTCACAGCGGGAGGTGTGAATAGGTACGCCTACTCGTGCCGAAACGGGGAGGGTGTGAAGAGACGCTGTTCACAGCGGGAGATGTGAATAGGTACGTCTACTCGTGCCAAAACGTGCTCTACGCGACGCGCAAGCCGAACCTGCACGGTGCAGCCACCGCCCACCACCGCCCTCGTCCGGCTCGCGCCGCCGCCGCACGCCCCGCGCCGCCCGCGCGCTCTCAGGCATCAACCCGCTCTTTTACGCGGCGGTGCGGCGTGCGACCGACCGGCGAAAGAACGCGATCCCGCTCACGGGGGTGACCGCCGTGGCCATCGCGACGAGGATGTGCCGCAAGGTGGACGTGTACGCGATGAGCACGCTGAGCGGACCGCCGGCGTGCTACTACTACTGGTACTCGAAGCGCGGCGGCGGTTGCACCGGCGGCGCGCGCAGCTCCGACGAGTGGTACCACAAGCGGCCAGGCGACGCCGAGTTCCATGACTTTCGAGGCAACGCCGACGCGCTCCTGCAATGGAACGCGAGCGGCGCCATCCGGATCCGTGTCTGAGAGTAAGACGCCGCGCCACTTGGACGGCGGGGCGCGGGGAGGGCGAGACTCGAGGCATCGCCCGACGGAAACGCCCGAGCGTCGAAAACCAGCGAGAGATGGTGTCCAAGGTGTGCGGACCATATGTTGGTGAGCGTTCTTACTTGTGTGGATCAGTTTCGTGAGTGTGTGACCTACCAGCGCCAGCGATGACGGCTTTTTATTTAGCAGATAGCACCACAATGAGAACCGACAAAGAATATAGGTCCGCAAACCCCCGGCACACAACGAAAAGAACGCACGGGCGGGGATCCGTTCCTTTTCGTACGCGAAATCGAACCGTACCCATCTCCTCTAGTAGCTACTAGAGGTATCTTGGAGCACTTGGAGTGCAGTCTGAGCCCTGGCTGTCAGGCTGTCAGGTGCTGTCAGGTGATCTGTCAGGCTGTCGGGCACTGTCAGGCACTGTCAGGTGCCTCTGTCGGACCAGCTGTCAGGTGCTGTCAGTGCTGTCAGGTGCTGTCGGGTGCGTGTCTGACAGGCGAGGTGATCTGTAGCTGTCGGGTGCTGTCGGAGCTGTCGGGTGTTGCTGTCAGACGCTGTCGGAGCTGTCAGAGCTGTCAGGCTGCTGCTGCTGTTAGACGTTGGGCTGTTGCTGTCAGGTGCTGTCAGGTGGTGCTGTTGGGGTGCTGTCAGGCTCTGACACACATCAGCCACACTTATGACACTATCAAGAGGGCGCTGACTATCAAGGGGGTGCTGACGCCGATGACGCCGGCGGCTACGCAGCTACCCCCCCTCCTACACGGCGTGATCACGCCGGCGGCGGCGGCCGCCTGGGGAGCGCAGATGGCGGCGCAGGCACAGGCGGCGGCGGCGGCACAGACGGCGGCGGCCACCCCCACCCAGACGCCGTAGGCATATGACTGTAGGGCCCCAGAAGGCTAGCTGGTAGCTTCATTTGTAGTAGCACAGCCGCCGGTGCTAGAGGGGTGTGTTGTGGTTCTTGCCCAAAAATGCGTGTGGTTTTTGCCCATGCACATTTTTTGCATTTTTGCATTATGTGCATATCGCACATATCATGGCATTTGAACGCATTATAGTGCATTCAAGACTGCATCTGCATTTTCTGCATTTTGCGCGTGTTTGCATTTGGTTGCATTTGCATTTTTTGCATTTTGCGCGTGTTTGCATTTGTTTGCATTATGCATTCGGTGGGCAACTGCATTTCAGCTGCATATGCTTTTTCTGCATTCTTTGCATTCGGCGGGAAACTGCATTTAGTTGCATGGATTCACTGACACACGGCCTCCATAGCGTGTCGGCACCTAATCCTCCAAAAAGATAATGACGTCCATACCAGGGTGCTTGCTGTGGCGGTCGACTACAATCTCGTTCTCCACGCGCAAGTAAGCAACCGCAGCGCGAACATCAGTGCGGGTCAAGTGCTTGTCCGCCGAGCTGACAGTGCAAAATAAGTCGTCAAAGGTGCACCTGAGCTCTCCTCCGAGGTGCTCAAGGGCCGCACCGGCCGCGCGGACAAGAGCAACGACGGCGGCGAGGTCATAGTCAGCAGCAGATGAGGCAGCAGCAGATGAGGTGGAGGGACCGGACGAAGTGCTGCTCGCGGTGGGTGCCGGTCGCCGGGGGCGCGGGGGGGGGCGCTAACAGACCTCTTGCGCCCGCCTAGCCAACAAAATGGTGTATCATCTTGATGCATGCAAACTTCTACATTAGAGGAGGCAGGAACCGGAGCCAGATGGCCGAAGGGATGGACTGCTCAAGGGCCTCCCATTGTCCTTGGCCTTGCCTACTCAGCAACATGCATCACTATGCACTGAAAAATGCATTACAATGCAACGTATGCGGGTATGTGCATACGAATGCAATTGAATGCAGTGATCACTAAGGGGGGTTTGTTGTTGCCTGACGCAAGCGCATCCGGCGCCCAGTCGTCAGGCGCGGAATCCCAACCGTCATCAGGGCGGTCCTCCTCCTCCGCAGAGACCACGTCCCCAGCTGGCTGCTGGGTTAGAGCCTTCTTCGTCTTAGTCGGCCGGTGGGCTCTGCGCGCTTCACGGATGTCGGCTGAACCAAAGCTCTGAGAAATTGCAAATGCAAATGCAACCAAATGCAAACACGCGCAAAATGCAAAAAATGCAAATGCAACGAAATGCAAACACGCGCGCAAAATGCAAAAAATGCAAATGCAACCAAATGCAAACACGCGCAAAATTGTAATGCAGTTGTAATGCAGGTGAATGCATGCGGATGCAAAAATGCAAAAAACGCAATGCATGGGCAAAAACCACACGCATTTTTGGGCAAGAACCACACTTATGCCGGTGCTAGAGAGGGGTACGCAGAGGTGGAGCGGGAGGGACGGAGGGTTGAGAGAGAGACCCATGACCATCCCATGACTACATGGACCACACTCACATGTCTTTGCATGTAATTTTGTTATACCCTCATGGGGCACAAGAAAGAGGCTCTACGGGGTCTGTGTACGGTCTGTGCTGCTGTCAGGCTGTCAGCGCTGCTGTCAGGCCACTGTGTGCTGTCGGGCTGTCAGGCAGCTGTCAGGCTGTCACGTTAGGGCCTGACAGCGACGGGTCACCTCGCCTGTCAGGCTCTGCTGTCAGGCTGTCAGATGCGTGCTGTCAGACAGTCAGAGAAAGTGCTGTCAGCGCTGTCGGGCTGTCGGGCACTGTCAGGCGCTGTCCGGGGTTTGCTGTCAGTCTGTCAGACCAGGGCTCAGAGACAGAGTGCAGTCATCAACCTCACATCCAGGGCCGGGGAGCTGAGGAGCGCACCCAGCGGGCCGGCGGTATCATCCGTATGATTTGTTTATTCATTATAGCAACGCGCTGCCGGCGCTAGTACGGCTGGTTATCCGCGCTCTAACACTCTCGTACGAACTGGCAGACAGAGATGTGCCGCACCCCGAACCGCCGCGTGGGCAGCTGCGCCTGCGGAAGCCGGGGACGCTCTTGAAACATTTACGCTGGTTCGTTCGCTCTGTACTACTACACAGTGTGGGGGCCACAGGAGAGAGCGACGGGGTTCACACAGTCACAGAGCGTGTCCCGAATCCAGCAGCAGCGGACACGTGCAAGATCCAGCAAGGAAGGAGACGTGCGTCCCCTTCGCCAGCGATCAGTACTAAGACCTTCCCGCTTGCCCGAGCCCTCGCAATCAGTAACGACGCACCCGCTGGCTCCACAACCCTGAAAAAAGGAACGATAATGTCCTCATCGCGCCTCATGCACGCAATCGGTCTCCTTCACCGTTGGCGGCGCCGCGCAACGCTGACTCCGCCGGCCCAGCGGCTCTACCTGACTGGTGACGGTCAGGCGTTGGTTCTGCCCAAACATGCAGTGAAGACTGCCCTCATCGAATGCTCGACTCCATTCCGTCCAGAGGAGGCGCTCGCCAACCTGCGCGAGGAGCCGCCCACGCCTGGCGAGGTTATCGGGAGACACAAAGCCGTTCGCAAACGCGCGCAGGAGCTGGCAATGTGGTCGGGTGCCCTGATTGGCATCACGCTGCTCAGTCCCTTAATCGGGGTACCTGCCGGAGGGGCCGTCGGTAGCATCGCCCTCCACGCGATGGTCAAGTTTCACGGGCGCCGAGCGGAGCGGCGGCTCGCGCGGCAGCTAGATCAGCTATCAGTATCACTCGGAGTACAGTAGCGAGTGTGAATTTGTTGATTAATAAATGAAAAATAAGTAACGAGCGTCCGTGTACCGCGTGAGCCGAGCGAGCGGGGAAGCGCGGATCGAGAGGGCGGACAGAAGGCGCGCAACGCTTAGAGCGCAGAACGCCACAGCGGTCCCGCCCCAGTGGTCGATCAATGAATAGTGCGCCGTGATCCGAACGCGATGGGGGTTCTGGGTCGATAGAGGTAGGGGGAGGGGGCATGGCAGACGTATCAACATAGGGGTGGAGAGTGGGTGGTGGACGGCTCGGCCCGAGACCCAACGCGGCCCCTCCCGGCCCTGCAGCTAGCCCCGGATGGGGCGGGGGCTGCGGCTGCGGCTGCGGCGGCGGGGGGGCGACTTGACGGAGGTGGCGGCGCTCTGGCTCCTGCGGCCGGCGGCGGTGCCCTTCTTGGCGGCGGCCCGCTCTGCGGCGAGCTCGGCGGAGAGGTCCGATATGCCCGCCTCGGACTTGACCTTGTCATACACCTCTGGGAAGGCGTCGACGCCGTCGTGCCGCTTGCGCGCCTTGTCGAGGAGCGAGAAGTCGAACATCTGGCGCAGCTCGGTCGGCGTGCAAAAGATGTCGGTGTAGAGCGCCTGCCAGCCTCCGACCTCGCGCGTCCAGTGCTCCATCGCGCGGATGTTCTCCTTTGCGTCCCAGACCGCGCCCTCGCGCACGGCGCGCGGGACGCCGTAGGCTCCGAGGTCGACCCACAGCCCGGAGGCCTCGCCCTGCTCGATCTCGGCCGCGCGGGGGGTGAGCAGGCCGGACGAGCCGCCCGTCTCCGACGAGTGGTCGAAGATGCGCACCTGCGGTCGGGAGGGAGGGGGGGAGGGAGGGGGGCGCCGCGGGGGAGGGGGTGGGGTGGGTAACGATTGGGAGCCGGGCGGGTCGCGGTGCTCTCGAGAAGGTCGACGGGGCGGAGGGGCGAGAGGGCGGGCGGGAGGGGCGAGAGCCGCAGGCGTGCAGCGAGGGCAGGCGTGCAGGTAGGGCGGGGCAGAGGGTGACCGGGAAGACGAGGAGCGGGTAGGCGCCGAACCAGTCGTCGAACTTTGCGATGCCTTCCGGGAGGCGCCACAGAGGCATGATGCTCTCCTGCGAGCCGCCGAGGGGGGGCGGGTTGGCGGCGACGGGCGGCGGGTCCGCGGGGCTCGAATCTCTGCCGGCTTGTGCGGTGGGGAGAGACGCCTGCACGACGTGCGCGTAGACGGAGGCTCTGCGGATGACGGGCCCCTGCGCCAGCTTGAGGAGCGAGACCTCGGGAGGGCCGAGCCAGCCCCAGAGGGCGCGGTAGAGCGGGTGGTTGGAGAAGGGGATCATGTCCTCGAGCTCCCAAAAGATGGACCGCGTGAAGCGGTGCAAAAAGTGCTGGAGCGGGATCGACTCCTGCCGAGGGAGGAGAGGCGGGGCGCGTCAGGACTGGGCGGGGCCTGGTGCTGGGGGAGAGGCGAGGCAGCGGCAGCGGCCGCGGGGCTGCTCTCTCCTGGAAGGCGCCGGAGCGGAGGGCCGTCTCGACGTGCCGGTAGTAGAACGGCTTGTACCAGACGTTGATGCGGTTCAGCGGCGCGGCAGTCGAGGGGCGCGCGTCGAAGTAGCCCGCCTAGGAGCGGAGCATCTGGGCTGGCTCTCGGCTGGCTCTCGGCTGGCTCTCGGCTCTGCGCGCCTGGATGACGGCGTTGTCGCGGTCGTACAGCGTCGCCTCGAGGAAGTCGGGCGCCTGTCCCTCGCCGAGGGCAGCGAGCCGCTGCAGCTGCGAGGTGAGCTCTCCAGCGGACGAGGTGGGGAGGTACTCGACGCGGACGTACGGCTGCGTGCGGAGAAGCTTCACCTGGGGTGGGGGCGGGGAGGGGAGGCGGCGTCGGGGAGGGGGCGCGCAGCCAGACCCGCAGCCGCTCTCCACGGCCGTGGCTGCCATCCGAGTGGGGACGCCGTCCCTCGCACCCGAGTCCCGCCCCTCCACCCCCCCCCCACACCCACACACACACACACCCACACACCCACACACCCCCACACACACACCCACCCACCTCCACTCGCCTCCCTTCCCTCACCTCGCCTCGCCTCGCCTCCCTTCTCCCTCGCCCTCTCCTCGCCCTCGCCCTCCCCGCTCGCCCCCGCCTCGCCTTGAGGCTAGTCAGGAAGCCGACGGTGCCGTACGACCACGGCAGCGCGTAGAAGAGCTCGGGCTGGTCCTTGGTCACCGAGTGGCGGCGGCCGTGCGAGTCGACAAACTCGTACTCGAGCACCGACTCCTGGAAGAGGCCGACCTTGTGCGAGTTTGTCTCGATACCGAAGCCCATCGCCAGCCCGCCGATTGTGATTGACTCCATCTCGATGTGAGACTGCAGCATCAGCCCGAGGGGGAGGAGCTCGTCGGTCAGCTCGCCCATCGTCACGCCTACGCGGGCGGCGAGGGAGGCCGGCGTGAGGAGGCTCTCGCCGAGGCGCGCGGCGACTGCGCAGCACACACGCACCTGGCTCGCAGGTGAGGGTCAAGCCGTCCTCGTCCACGTCGAGAATCTCGTTCATGTGGCCGAGCGCGATCTGGTTGCACTCCTCCTTGTTGCTGCCCAGCTTGGTCGACATGGCCGCCCAGTTCGACCGTGCGGTGCGCAGCTTGCGCTTCCTCCCGCCACGGTCCCATGCCCTCAGCTGCTCCGAAATCGAGTCGACGTGAGCAGCATGGCGAATGGCGGCAGCCTTGCCGCCCGGCCCGCGCAGGTAGCGGCGAAGCCGCCGCCTCCCCAGCGTGTACTTGCCCCGGATAAAGGAGAGAGGCACGACGATCAGCATGAGGACCGGCGTGCGGCACGCCGCGGCCAGTCGAAACTGCCAAGGAAATTCCTTTGAGAGCGCGCCGCCGTCAGAGCCCAGCAGGGCGGCGAGGACGAAGGCTATGACGAAGGAGGCGACGCCGTAGCCGATAGTGGCGAGCATGGTAATGTTCAAGAGCGGGCGAGTCTGCTGGGACGTGGGTGAGTCTGCTGTTGAGCTCTGATGCGGGTGTCGCCACAAGGAGAGGCGCCGGGCGAAAAATTCTTTTTTTCCGTGATATAACCGCCGCGACCCTCCACGTTTTCTTTTCGCTTCGAGCGCCCTAGCGAAAGAACGCCGGAGAAAGAAAGAAACGCAGCAAGTCGCGCCGCCGCGGCACGCATGCAGTTCCGAGCAGATACGCGATGTACTCAGTAGTTAGTGGAGCAGGAGAGCCGTGGAAGCCGGGCGAGGCGATTTGTCCGAGAGCGGAGAGGCTGGTTGCATCTCGCAGCTGTCCCTCGCGGCGATCTGACACCGCCTCCGCGCCGCCGCCTCCGCGCGCCTCCGCCCGACCGGGCTGGCGCTGCCGGGGCGGCGAAGGCGGCGCTTTGCGCGGCTGGCTTCCCTTTGGGCGAAGCGGCGCCTCACTTCACGCCGTAGCGCAGCTTGGACTGGTTTGCAACCTCCTCCTGCGCCTTCTTCAGCGCCTCTGGGTCGGCGAGGAAGCGGCCCGAGAGGGGCGCGACGGCGCCGCTCATCTGGAGCGGCTTGAGGTCCGCGTCGAGCTCATAGACGAGCGGGATGCCGGTGGGCACCTGCTCTCAACGCAGCCGCGTGACAGACGCGGCGGTATGCGGCTCGGTGCGGCCGCACAGCGGCTGGAGCGGCACCTCGAGGCTGGTGATCTCGTCGTCCGAGATGCCGTCGAGGTACTTGAGGATGCCGCGGATCGAGTTGCCGTGCGCCGCCACCAGCACCGTCTTGCCGCGCTTGAGGGCCGGCGTGATGTCGCTCTCCCAGTACGGCAGGCACCGCTCGACCGTGTCCTTGAGGCACTCGGAGAGCGGTATCTCCTGCAGGGCGGGCGAGGCCGCACCGGGGTGAGGGGCGGAGGGTGCGGCCGGCGCGGCCGGCGCTCGTCGCGCGGCGCTCCTCCGTCGGGATGTGCGCGTACTTGTTGTCATTCCCCGGCCAGTACCTGCGGCGGCGGCGGCCAGGGCGAGCCGGTCGGGAAGGCCGACGCCGTGTGCGCCGCGGGCCGGTGCGACCCGCGCCAGGCCGCCTCTCGCCTCCTGGCCCCGCTCTCCGGGCGCGGCGCCCCCAACCTCCCCGCCCGGCCGCCCCTCCCGCGCCCCGGCGCACTCTGAGTCGGTGTCGATCGGCGGCGGCGGGAGCGAGTACGATCGGCGCCACTGCTTGACCTGGTCGTCGCCGTACTTGGCGACCGTCTCCTTCTTGTTGAGACCGGTCAGTCCGCCGTACATGCGCTCGTTCAGCCGCCAGTTGCGGTGCACCGTCACGTCCTCCTGCCCCGTGATCTTGAGCACGATCTCGAGCGTCTGCTGCGCGCGCTTGAGGAGCGATGTGTATGCGACGTCGATGGTGTGCCCCTCCCTCCACAGCGCGGTGGCACCCTGCGCGGCCTCGTTCTTCCCCAGCGTCGTCAGACCGACGTCCGCCCAGCCCGTGAATAGGTTTGCCTCGTTCCACACAGACTGGCCGTGCCGCAGCAGGATCAGCGTGGCGTGCGTCTCGGCATTCTCAGCGAGCAGAGGCGACGCCGCCCGGGACGGACGCCGCACCGACAGCTGCGCGCCGGGCGCAGGGCTGTGCGGCAGCAGGAGCGCCGCGGAGATCACATGCGATGATAGCAACATCTAGTTGCCGCTGTCTGAGTCGGAGATGGTCGGGGCGCGGTTCAATCTGGGTTCCGGCTCCTTCCATTGGGGGACGGAGGTAAAAACGCCTTCCCTTCCTTAGGGGAAGGGCCAGCAGCGAGAACAGACCCCCTATCCGGGAGGCTGGGTCTGTCAGCAGGCGGGGGGGTATGCTCGCGAGACCATACCATACCCAGCAAAAACTCCGAACCCGACCGTCGGGGCGATCGAGGAGATCGAGCACGCGACGCTCCCACTTTTTGCCGTAGCAGCGCAATGGACCGCGTGCTGCAGGCGCCGACCGCGTCCCCCGCTCCCGCCGCGCACGCCTCGCACCTTTCCCACCCTCCTCCCCGAGCGCGCGGGCCACCTCTCCCCCGCAGCGCCGCGCGCACCCGTAACCGCCGCCTGCCCCACACAGTACAACTTTGGCTACCTGCCACCGCGCGCGGGTCTCGCCTCCGACCTGCCGCTCTCGCACCTGGCCGCCGAGATCCTCGGCCCTCGCTCCAAAAAGATGAAGACCGCCGCCGGCGCCGACGCCAGGAACGGCGCCGGCCAAAAGGCGGCGCTCGAGCGGCGCTGCGTCAACTACGTGCGCGTGCTGTCGGCGGAGATGGTGCAGGCGGCCAACTCGGGCCACCCGGGCGCGCCGATGGGCTGCGCGCCGATGGCGCACGTCCTCTGGTCGGGCGTCATGTCCTACGACCCTGCCGACCCGGAGTGGATCAACCGCGACCGGTTTGTCCTCTCGAACGGTCACGCGTGCGCGCTGCTGTACTCGATGCTGCACCTGACGGGGTACGGCGTGTCGATCGACGACCTGAAGCAGTTCCGCCAGCTCGACTCGATCACCCCCGGCCACCCCGAGAACGGAGTCACCCCCGGAGTCGAGGTGTCGACCGGCCCGCTCGGCCAGGGCATCAGCAACGGCGTCGGCCTCGCAATGGCGCAGGCGCACCTCGGGGCGACCTTCAACCGGGAGGGCTTCTCGCTGATCGACAACTTCACCTACGTCATCTGCGGCGACGGCTGCATGCAGGAGGGCATCTCCTCCGAGGCGTGCTCCCTCGCAGGCGCACACACACACCACGCGCACCGCGGCCGCAGCAGCCGCCGCCGCGCCGCAGCGTCGCAGCGTCGCGCGAGTGTGGTGCTCGTAGGCCACCTGCAGCTGGGGCGGCTCATCGTCCTGTACGACGACAACAAGATCCAGATCGACGGCGCCACCTCGCTCGCCTTTTCGGAGGACGTCGGCAAGCGCTACGAGGCTTACGGCTGGCAGGCGAGCGCGCCACGCAGCGCCGCGCCCCGGCACACGACGACACACACACACACCCCGCCCGCCGCTTCCGGCTCCTCGCACCTGAGGCGCGAGGGTGTACCGCCGCTCTGTCTCGCACGAGCCGCGAGGGGTCCGGCTCGCAGCCCCCTCCTCCACCGCTTCCTTCCTGCCTCCGCCGCACCACCGCCCGCCCTGGCCCCGGGCCCCTGGCCTCTGACCCCCCCCCCCTGCGCACACGCCGCAGGACACCTCCCGCGTGCAGTACGAGTGGCTACGCCGCATCACCGGCCAGCCACTCCCCGGACGGCCGCAGCAGCAGCCGCCCTTTGGCAGGAGCGGCGGGGCGGAGCAGGCCGTCTTCGTCGCTGCGGATGACGACCAGTCGGTGTACGGCTGGCGCGGCGCCGACCGCACCAACGTATCTCCACCCCGTCCGACCTCTCGGCTGAGCTCGGCCGATCTCGGCTGATCTCGGCCGGCGCTCCGCAAGGTGCTCCGCTTCCTGTCCGAGTTCGACGGCGCGCGAGTCATCCGACTCACAACCTCCTACCGCTGCTCCCCGCACGCCCTCGCCTTGCAGCCGCCGCCGAGGGGGCGGCACACGCGTGCGTGACGCGCCTGCCGGCCCTCCCCGTAGGCACGCCCTCGGCGCGGCGCAGGCGTTGCTCTCCCGCTCGCCCTCCCTGCTCGCAAAGGAGTGCGAGCCGCACACGCCCGCCGCCGACGCGCCGCGCGTGGTGCTGCGCTGCTTTTGGGACGCGCGCGACGAGGCGCAGTGGATCGCGCGGCACGTGGCGGCGCAGCGAAAGTCGCACCCGGCGTACCGCTACTCGGACTTTGCGGTGCTCGTGCGGTCGCAGGAGCTTGCGGCGGCGCTCGCGCCCATGCTGCGCGCGCGGGGGCTGCCCATCTCCAC